ATATGATTGTTGAGAAGGATGAGGGGGTAACGGTTGCAGACGGAAACTGATCCTGTGTGTGTGTTTATCTGTATAGCTCTGCTACCCACGCTGGCTGAGCTGAAATAGGATTCTTTGCTCTTTTCTACCTCACCTCTCCTGTCCTCCATTATTCCTTCCTTTTTATCCCCTCTGTATCCTCTCCTCTGCCCTTCTCTCCTTCCCTCATCTTGTGCTCCTATCTCCTCCCGCTGCCCCTGTGACAGACAGGGTGTCCTCACCTTGTAACGATCACTGACATCCAATATGTTTGGCTTTGGGATCATCCCCTATGTGTCCATTGTGCTTCCTGTTAAACGCTTTATTGATTAGCCATGAGTTAATTACAAATTACATCAAGCGTATACAGGGCTACAGGATCCATCCTGGAGGAGCTATTACAAGTCGTCTGCACACACCTGCATGGCGTGCATCTCAACCTGACTTTTTGTTTTGCTTTATTCTGCGTGATTTCCCCCCCCCCATTAACATCCATGCATTTATGACATTTCACACTCTCTTATCGTATAGCTTTAAGGCCATGCAATATTTCTGCACGATTGTAGGGGAAGAGGCTAGCATTAGAAACAGGAGGGGTTTTCAGCAAAGACACCAAGGGTATGCAGCCGGAATACTTAATTCTATCAAGCACAACTTTGACTCACCCTATGCAAAATTATGAGACTGTGTGCCAAATCCATAGCAGACCTTTTGAGGCTAATGTATTCTGGATTTAAGCTCCATTGTAAAATCCATAACACGCCTGCACCTGACCTGCTCGGCTGCAGAACCCAAAAAACAACCTCTTGCCTCTGACTCCTGCACAAAGTTATGAATAAAAAATAATAATAGGCTAATAATAATAATTATACTGATAATAATGATATGTTAGAAATAGTTGCAACCCTATCCTGAAATAGCAAGCACTTTTTGCAGCCTTTTTTTTTTTCCTTTTCATGCCGTGTCAGTTTCTCTGTGACATTGCCGTGTACTTTGTGCAAAAAAAAAAAAAAAGAAAAGAGGAGCGAAAAAAAAATCTTTATCAAATCCCCATTCTGAGGCTTTCAATAAGGCAGGCCATTACCTCACTGCGCTTTTGTTCGGCCTATACAAGAGAGAACAAAATGGTTATTCAGGAGGACGCTTTAGATTTTTATTGTGGGCTCGCTATTCACAAAGAGCACCGTTATTGTATTAAAAAGAACCATCTGTGGCAGAAACAATGGCTTCAAATTATCTGTGAATACCCAGTGAACAAAATATAAAGCTTTTTTCCTGCTCATTATGTGGGCTAAGCTAGGGGGGTGGAAGATAGGGAGAGGAGAGGCATAGACTTTGCTATAACTGACTTTTGTTGTTCTTGCTTGCATTCTTCTCCTTTTTAAATCGGCCCCCTTTTCACATTGTGTGTCGCCATAAACGGCTTTTTCTTGTTGCAGGGATCGCGGAAAGAAGACAGCGGAGCTCCACACAGGCAGAGAGCAGGGGGGACTCCGTGGAGCTGCTGCAACGCCGGCCACAGCGCACCGGCTGACGGATCGAAACCGCGCGGACTACCGGGGGACTTTGTGTGTGTGGGGGGGGTTGGACATGGAAGAGGGGTTGCCGCCCGGCTTTGGACGTTTTCATAGCCGGTTTCGGGAGCTCTTTCTCGGGCTCAAGTTGAGGGTTTGTCTTTTGCCGAAGGGAAGCGAGAGGAAATTACGGAGGAGGTTGAGCGAGAAAAATGGCATCTTGTTTTAATTTGTGCCAATCACGACGAGAGGAAGACAACTCCCCAAACTGGCAGTAAGTCTGAGTGCGGTGGAGAGGAGAAGCCCTGGGTGTGTTTATGTGTGTGTGAGTGTGTGTGTGTGTGAGAGTGTGTGTGTGTGTGTGTGTGTGTGTGTGTGTGTCTCGGTGTGTATGTTAGTGTGTGTTTGAGGCGGTGTGTTGTGGAATGACACCGCATGGCATCATGAGCTGCACTGACTGCCTGAGATTTTGTTGGCTGCTTCGGTTTAACGTACACATGGATAGTTTGAACGCACAGATTACAGATACGATCACCAAATTTGGCATTTATTTATTCACAATTATTCATTTTTATTCATTTATTTTCACCCTCTAAGTGTTTATTGTAAACATTTTTAAATATCGAACAGTTTTATTATGAAGTCAACAAAACTCCCTCGATATTTTTTTTATAACTTGGATGCGTTTAAATTCTATTTTTTTTAAGGAATTTGATTTATTCAACTGGTATCAAGATTTTAATTTCATCGTCGCCATACTTGATCATTTATTACATTATAGCCGAATGTGTTCAAAAGTCAATTTAACTACATTCATAGCGTTTATGCTGAATAGCAATGCTCTGATTTATTTAAACTAACTTTATAAAGGCGTTAAAGAAAATCCATTATTCATTATTTTATTATAGCCTATATATTTTTTTACATTGCAGACAACATATATAGGAAACTAACATAACAGTAAGCACATGTCTAAAGACTCTTCTACGTCTCCAAATAAAAAATAAAAATAACATTTCTGCACAAATCTTAAAAAATATCTATTTTGATTTTTCACATTGATTTTAAGGGACTTTGTTACTTTTAGAATAAAGTGTTTTCTTGGCTTGTCTCCAGCCCCTGATACGGCCCCTAGTGGCAAGAAAAGACAAGTTTTATTTGCATTTCACCTGAAATCTGTTCCTCTCATTCCCATAGTACCGTTATCATTTTTGTCTTACTTTTAACAGAATTTGATATTTGACCTTTTTTTTTTTTTTTTTAAATATAGGCCTATGTTTTTTTTATTTGGATTGACTAAAATGTGAAAATATCACCTCACAAATGTTACTTTCCAATAGTTCTTCTATGACGAGCGTTTCTGTTGGAATAACTTTATATAGCCTTTGCTATTTTTTTTTTATTTTTTTTGCGTCAACTAATTGCGCGTTTTCCTCTAAACAGTATTTTGTAACTCCGTCGTTTTGCTCTGCTATTATTTGCTGTGCATCTCAGCCCTGTGTGTATGGGGGGGGGGGGGGGGGGGGGGGGGACTTACAAGTGGTCCAGGGAGCCGCCCCGTGTGTTTCTCCTGTTTTTTTGTCAAACAACGGCTTTAATTCAGGATGATTGTGGATGCAGGGCCCATTCCCGGCTGGATGGGGTGTGCTTTCAGTGAGCTGCAGGGCCCCCGCTGTTCCTTTATTATCATAAGCAGATTAGAGGTAGCGGGGAACACACTCAGATGCAGATAGCAGCCGAGCGGCACCATTTCAACCTTGCATTATAATGGAGCGAGCTGCATGTGTCGCCTCTCGCAGCCTATTAAGCACAAGATGAATCTTATGTAAGGTTGCCAAGGGCCGGCATAATGAGAGCAGGAGGTGCTCCGCTCCTCCATTTATTATCAAATGACTAAAACAAAAAAATAATAAGGCTTGATCTATTCGCTTTCAATTATGATTTAATCTGGAGACACGCATTTAAATTGAATTATTTCAGGTGTGTGTTCTCGATCTGGCTTTAATAATTGGGGTTGTCTGGCTGACACATCCAAACCAGGCTGAATAGGCCTTACCTGTGTTTCATCTCGTTTAGCTTCTCTTTTGTTCGGTGTGTTAATTATTGTATTATTTTCTTTTTTTGTCTTCAGATTTTAATTGTTTTTGTGTGCCACTTTTTGACATTTTAACCGACTTTTTGAAAACATCCCATCATCCATTCCTTCTCAATTCTCTGGTAAAAAAAAATCCTGTCAGGGCTTTTTTTTTGGCCTTTCCTGTAGTTCTCCATCTGTCCAGTAGGCGGCACTTGTGTCACGCAGTAGGACGCCTTCTGCTTCAGATTGATGGATAGTCAAGGCTGAAACAAAGTGGATCCAACACTCCCCCCCCCTGAAAACTTTGTTCACTTTGAGCATTAAAACCATGTGAAGGGAAACAATTCAGTCTTTAAATCAGATGATGCCGCGTTTTTCATGTCGTAATAATCCTGCAGTGTGCTCCGTTTGATCCGGAATGAAGTGAGGCAGGTGGAGGCCACTGTTTTCATTCACTAATTGGCTGACACGCTTGTTCAGGGCTTATATGAATGAGCTGCGTCCTTTTGGTAGCAAACACACTTTATCTCTTAAATATTCCTCACCTTTATTTCTCCAGCCCGTAGGCCGTGTCTCTCTCTCTCTCCCCCCTCAAACTGCACTACAAAGCCCCCCCCCCCCCAACAACAACAGCTTCACTGTGGCAGTGGAAGTGGAGTGGAGTTGGGTCTTTGTCCGGACAGATGTAGCGACAACATCCCAAACAAAAAGCGCTTATTTGTGCTGAGATGAGCCCGTCTGCCTTCTGTGTGTTGGCATTCAACTTCACTAAACAAAGAGGGGGACTTGGGGGGGAACATCTTGGATTACCTTTCCTCTTTTCAAGGCTAAAAACCAGCCGTGGCTCCCCCCCCCCCCCCCCATCTCACACACACACCAGCGCTATTCATCGAGTTAAATAACTAAGTTTATTTAAGTGTTGTTCTGTTATTGGGGGGCAGCTAAGTGGGAGGAATTAGTGACTTTTTGGTTTTTGAACAACAGCAATGTCACGGCCGGTACTTAATGTCAGAGCAATCCTTTTGAATCAGAACAATCTGACACAATAACTGTCAAAATGTGATATATTTATTTAACACGTTCCCCCTTATTTGACTATATCTCATTCGTGACATCAGCTGTTAGAATTAAGGCTAAAAACTGAATGAATATGTAGGAATGACAACATTAAAAATAACATTTTTTTTTTTAAATAACATGAAACTTTTTGTTCTTTTACTAAGTTTTAAAAATGAAAACTTTTCTTTACAACAGCTTTTACAACTTATTTCTATAAATAATGATGGAAACAGGTCATAAAGTGCCACCATATCTGAATAAGCCCAGTGGATTTTCTCCATAATGCTGGAAATAGTAAATATGTACTTTGTATTGGCTCATATGTGAAGCCTGATAGTGTGTGTGTGTGTGTGTGTGTGTGTGTGTCTCGGGGCAAAACATACCCCGCCCCCTTTATGCTAATTAAGGCCTCCCATTGGCGTGTCAGGGGTGCAGGCCGCCTCTGATTGGCCAGGTCGAAGCCATTTATTCGCTGACAGCCTCGTCACATGAATGGTTGTCTATTAACTTGTTCAAAAACTATCTGGAGTTGTCAAGGCTCAGGACGGACGGAGGCGAAAAAAGTACAGTTTTTGTTGATGCTTTTTTTTTCCGGGAGAAGCGACGGGAGAAGTTTTGTGGACACAACATAGAAGGGACCTATTGGGAGAAGGCTCTTTGTCACACACACTCACATACACTCTGACACACACTCAGTGAGAGGCAAAGAGAGAGAGAGTGAGTGAGGGAGAGAGTGTGTGGAGACGCGGCTTGGTGCTGGTTGTTTTTTTTCGTCCAGAGGAAAAAAAGTTGCAGAGAACAAAATCGACAGGTAACTTCGCGTTCAGCTTGTCTCTTTTGCTTTTTCCCCTCTGCTTCGGGAGCTCCCACTCCAAAAAAAAAGCTGTTCCTGATGTATAACATGATGGAGACTGAACTGAAGCCCCCAGCTCCCCAGACCAACACGGGGGGCTCGGGCAACACCAACTCGTCCGGCACCGGTGCCAACCAGAAGAACAGTCCGGAGCGGGTCAAGAGACCCATGAACGCGTTCATGGTGTGGTCCCGGGGCCAGAGGAGGAAGATGGCGCAAGAAAACCCCAAAATGCACAACTCGGAGATAAGCAAGAGGCTGGGCGCGGAGTGGAAACTTCTGTCGGAGAGCGAGAAGAGACCTTTCATCGACGAAGCCAAGAGGCTGCGGGCCCTGCACATGAAGGAGCATCCGGATTACAAATACCGGCCCCGGCGGAAAACCAAGACCCTCATGAAGAAGGACAAGTACACCTTGCCCGGCGGGCTGCTGTCTCCCGGAGGTAACGGGATGGGAGGTGGGGTCGGTGTAGGGGTCGGGGCCGGGCTGGGCGGAGGAGTGAACCAGAGGATGGACAGCTACGCGGCACACATGAACGGCTGGACCAACGGTGGTTACGGTATGATGCAGGACCAGCTGAGCTACCAGCACCCGGGGCTTAACGCGCACAACGCGGGCCAGATGCAGTCCATGCACCGCTACGACATGAGCGCGCTGCAGTACAACACCATGACGAGCTCCCAGAGCTACATGAACGGCTCGCCTACCTACTCCATGTCCTACTCCCAGCAGAGCACGCCGGGGATGACCGCCCTGGGCTCCATGGGACCCTCCTCGGTGGTAAAGTCCGAGTCCAGCAGCTCCAGCCCGCCCGTTGTCACCTCGTCATCCCACCGGGCCGCCCCCGGCTGCCAAAGCGGGGATCTGAGGGACATGATCAGCATGTACTTGCCCGGGGCGGAGGTCAGCGAGCAGAGCGCCCAGACCCGGCTACACATGTCCGGGCACTACCAGAGTACCGTGCCCGGTACGACGATCAACGGCACGCTGCCGTTAACACACATGTAAGCAGACAGAGAGAGAGAGAGAGAGAGAGAGAGAGAGATAGATAGAGAGAGAGAAAAGAACTTTTATAAGAGAAACTGTGGACTATTAACGTTGGACTATTTTTGTACAGAAAAATTTCGGGGTGGGAAAAAGTTGTATAGAAGTCTCCAAGAAAAAGGACACACGACTCTTTTATTCTTTCATTTTATTCTACGGAAGCTCTAGAGGAACTTAGGAGACCCCCCCCCCCCTCTCTTCACTTGGTGGATGAAGTTTGGAAGACTAGAAAAGAAAGTGGGAGTCGCAATCAAATGTTTTATTATTGCAATCATCTTTTGTACAGTATTTATCAAAGAAACATTACAATCAGATGAAATTGTTTGTTAAACTGCAAGAGGTTGCATTTTTTCTTTTCTTTTTTTTTTATATATATATATATATATATATATAAAGGCAACGTCGGTTCTGCAGAAAATATTAAAAAGTGAAAATGGCAGAACTGCAATTTATAGGAGCGATCAGTTATGCTCCTTTATTACTGCATAGATTGGAAAGAAAAGGGACATAAAACGAAGCAGGTAATACTGTTTTTTTTTATCATTTAAAGGTTACTAAACATTTAATTTCTTATATTAAAAAAAAGGAAGATAAGACACTTTTTTTTTCTCTCATACAGCTTAAAATATAGGTTGTTAATTTATATTTCCATTTCCGTCTCCCACTTTTCATCTGTTAGAGGTATGACGCTCTTTATTTTCTAATTGATTTGTACAATTTCTGTATATTTACTGTGATATTTTTAAGTTTTTATTTCCAAACATTCATTCCCGTAGTTGTAATTTTAAAAATTGTGGCCCTGTACGCAGAAGCCAACCCACTCCATGTAAATATATACCGGAACTAATACCATCCTTATAACAGGTACAATTTCAACTGAGTATATTATTTTTCAATATGCAGTTTGAAATGAATAAATTTTGGAAATTTGGATACTTGAAATTGTTTGAGTTTTGATTTTTATTTCTCTCAGTTTATTTTTTTCTGTGTGCATGCAGTCCATCATGTTGAGTTGTCACCTGTTTGTGGATTTTTTTTTTCTTTTACATTTGATATTGTCAAATCAGATGTAAACTGTACAGTTCAAACTATTTTAGATTAAAGAATAAGAAAAACATATCTATATCTGCAGTGATCAAATAATTCAGCTTTGTCGAGGTTAATCACGTTTGTATTTTCTATAGTGCCTGCGGATGTTCCCCATCAAGCCAAAGTCTCCTTAAAAAAGGGGGGAAGATTTCTCTATCAAAATGTCCCAACACCCCCAGGTATAGACTGCAATTTCTCCTCTTCACAATCAATATTCAATAAAAAGAAGAAAAATATTCAGCACTTCTGCACAGGCCCATTTAAAAAAAAAAAAAAAATTCTTGTAGCTTAATACCTCTCATTCTATTTTTAACCTTGTTAGTATTTTTAGGCTATTGAATGGGACTGAGGGAGGAATAATGGACATATGCTCTAAACTCATAAATCAGATTTATAATCCCCCACATGACAGTTATTAGATTTATGTAAACTGACAGGAGGATTTCTGTCATTTTTATTTTAATGACTGTGACGGCAACTGTGGATGTTTTATGAGTATTTACAACAAGCTTAATCTCATGAGCTGCAGGCCTTTTCTTTATTCATGTTGAAACAGCTCCTCTTGTTGTTTTATTTAACAAGGTGTGTGTTGCCTTTTGGATGCTTTCTCTGCTTCTTTTTTCCCCCCCTATATAAAAAAAAATAAATCACACAGCTGTACTCACCATCCCAAAATGTTCAATTAAGGCTAAATTGAAGGTGAGCCCTCTTGAAAGGAGCCAGGCGAGCGAGACCTGCTTTTTTTTTTATTATTATTCTGCAAAGTAATAGCGCCATATAGGCTGGAGTGAGTGGCCATTTTAATTTAATGTTTAATCAAATGGGCCCTGCTGTTTCCCGTTAACCCCGGTTCTCACGGTTCAAGCTCCCCCGGTTATTTCACACACCTCCTGCGTAAAAAAATAAAATAGCCTAAAACATAGAACCGGTTTCAAATTGTCCACATGCTCTCCCCCCCCCTTAATAACAATAATCCTTATGATGAGCTAACTGTCGGCTCTGAATTTTATTAACGGTTTTAAATCAGGTGTGTGTGTGCTTGTGTGTGTGTGTGTGTGTGTGTGTGAACAGAGAGGTAGATTAAGGCCGTTGTGTCTTGCAGTCTGGGTCCCGGGGGATCGGAGCTCACATTAACCGGCGGATGAATATTTGAAGAGGCCCCTCGGTATTTATCCCTCCACTCTCTCACTCTCTCTCTCATGTCTTACTCTCTCTCTCTCTCTCTCTCTCTCTCTCTCTCTCAGCTGGACCTTTAAGAGGTCACAAGATCGTTGGTTGCTGCATTAATTATTGATCCAAGCAGCTGAATTGGTTGTAATAGCCGAGAACACCAGTGATAAACAAAGTGTTTTTCAAAAGGTCGAACAAGTAGACGTTTTAAAATTCTCCTCCCCCCTCCCCGTCTTTCCGTAAAAACCGGGCCCCTGCATTAAGGCCCGGAGGCCCCCGCAGAATGATTATTTTTTTCCCTAGCAGAGCGCGGCACCTTTGATGTGTGCAGAGAATACTGGATGTATTTGATGATCAACTAACATGTTCTGTGCAGTGTTGTAATAAGATATATCTTATTAGTAACGCCTGTAAAGCTTGTATGTTGACACAGACAAGGGGGCTGAAATAAGGCCATGGCTGCTTTTAAAAATAGGAGGGCGAAATCATTTTTGTTATCGTGTTTGATAGCCTAGCAATCAACATTTTCTCTTTTTTTAATTGGTTTGATATATTTGTAAAAAGAAACTTAAACCAAAGTCAAACATCCAGCCTTTAGATTAAAAATTTATTTTTTTTCTTTTTTTTTTTTATCAAAACGTCCTTTAAAAAAGTGTCCCTTTCCATTTCCAAGTGATCGAGGACACATACAGGACACTGTAAATCTTCTCTCGTTATCTTTGTTGAAAAATATTAGCCCACAATTAGCCGATATGCTTTCCAAAATGTGATTCAATCTCAGACTCCTTTAAACTCTGACTTTCCTTTTTAAAAAGTTGCAGCACGGAATAGGCCGCTAACCCAGAGAATTTAGAGTCGAATGGTTTTATGGTGATAGAAGTGATTCCACCATGACGCTGTCAAATAATCTCATTAGTTTCAAAGTGTGATGTAGCCTAAGTGTCGTGTTTCTGTTTTTTTAATCGACACAAAGACAAAAAAGGGAGGAAAAAAAAACAAACTCTGGTCCCCCCTGAAATGTTCAAACCATGCGGATAAGCAGGTGTGTTCAGGTGTGTATGAGCAGAAAGGCCCGTCAAAGTGTTCCTCTAAAACCCTTTCATCCATCCATCTACCCCTCATCCACCCCTCATCCATCCATCCTTCCCCCCTTCTGTTGCTCGCGTGCAGAGTCTCGGGGATATTTGGACTGCAACAGGTGGTAAGCGCGCGCCTCTGCTTTTTTTTTTTTTTTTGCCCCTCGCTTTAAAGAAGAAGAAAAAAAAAAACTCTCAGATGTTATCAACGATAACCTGGCGCGTGTGGGAGCTTTCAAGAGGCCATAACCACAACATTGGGGGCGTTACATTTTAGACGTGTTATAAATATGCAACAATTAGGCAGATGTTTATTATATGTTATACATGTTATAATAGCTACATAATACAAAAAAATATGAACATAGAAACTGACTCGGTCACTTCAGGTCACTAAACTTTTTTTTAAACCAGCTTGGAATTAAAGATTAAAATAAAAAATAATACAATTAATTGATTAATAGGATTTTATAAAGGAGATATGCTACTACTAGTCCAGCTAGGTGGCTTATAAGGACCGGTTTCAAAATCCCATGTTTGTTGTTGAGATTATATGATTCTATAAAATTGGGTCATATGACCCCCCCTCCCCCTTACTCGCGCGCGCGCGCACACACACACACACACACACACACACACACACACACACACACACACACACACACACCACACACACACACACACACACACAAAACGGGTTTAGTGGCCTGTAATCCCACGACAGCCACTTTCCCTTTTCACCACGTTGCGGATAATAAGGAGGTGGGGTATGACGTCACCCGCATGAAGCCAGTCCAATGATGCCTGACCGTTTCCGTTGGTAGTTTGTAGGCTACATGTTGCCCTTATTTGCCTTTTCATACGGCCCAAACTCTCCTAATGTCTTCAACTTAAACCATTTCTAACTAATTGACTACCCGATGCTTCAGCTACAGAGCAGTGATACATACGCACTACTTTTTTTTAGTCCTCTAGGCATACAATTAGGCCCACCGTTTATTTCACGAGAATGTACGTTTTCTGAATCATTAGATTTTGCCTTTTTGGTCCGCATTTTACACCAGTCGTTGCCAGCGTGGAGGCAATGGCATCTCCATTTACACCATTTAAACTTTCAATATCAGGACTTTAACGTGCTTTCAATTCAAGACTGATTCACATGCCTAATAAAAAAATAAAAAAAAACTATATAAATGTAATATCTGTTTAACAACACGAGAATATCATTAACTCAGACCTGTATCATCAGTTAAATAATCATCGTTCCCCCTGTGGATGTTATGTGTGATTAAAACGCTAATAATACAGATTTGGGCATTAAGCCATCTTCTTCAATGACTTTTCGGTTTTCTAAATCAGAGAGGAAAAAAGTTAGTAAAGTTAATATTTTTCTTAGACTGAAGATATCTTATAAAATGTGAAACTGCCAGTGTTTATGATTTCACCTTCTGGTCGTGTTATTATGTTATTAATATGCTGTTTGAATTTTATTTAAAGACCTCTCTGCCTTCATCACAGAGAAAGACCCTGGAAGAATGAATGAATAGCAAAACTGTCGGAGCAGAGAGCAGCAGACGTGTGTGTGTGTGTGTGTGTGTGTGTGTGTGTGTGTGTGTGTGTGTGTGTGTGTGTGTGTGTGTGTGTGTGTGTATGTGTGTGTGTGAGACGCCTAAAGGGACTGAATGGCAGCCAGTAGCCTGCTGATCTAGCGCAGGTGCAGGGAAGGGAAGCGGGCGGTGTATCTCTCTCTCTCTCTCTCTCTTTCTCACACACACACACACACACACACACACACACACACACACACACACACACACACACACACACACACACACACACACACTCACTTCCATTGAATAGGACCACACACTGACACAGACCAGCATGCCATCAGCCTCGCGCTGCTCTCGGCCTGCATTCTCAAACTCGAGGCCTCTGCAACCCCCTCAACCCCACCACCCTCCTCGTCTCCTTTCCTCCCTCCCTCCCTCCCTCCTCCCCCAACACGTCACCGGCGGCTCGAGCTCCGTTCATCATCTCTGCTCATTGATAATGACAGCTTCATCATTAAGGGAACGCACGTTTTAGCATCACAACCATTAAAAAATAATAACGATGTCTCTAAGTTTGTTTAGTAAGGAGACTTATATTTAGCCTATAGGCCTGTCTAAAAACTCCTGTACAGCAGACCTGTGCGTTTTTCAGATAACAAAGCTCACTGACAATAAGCCATGGGGCAATATTGTCTCAGCAGCACCTACACAAACATTGAATATTATTAAATGTTTTATGTAAAATACCACCTTTATACTTTCTTCCCCCTTTTTTCATGACATTTAGCTTCTGTTTACATCACTAGATATATGAATTTAAGATAGATATCTCTGTTTATAAACCCTTTATTATCTGCTCAAACTGACCCTCGAAAAACAATACAGTAGTCCCCTTACAAACCCTCCATTCTCTGGTTGAATAAAATGTAAGAAAACCGACACAAAAGCAGCAGTTTATAGTGCAACAATAACCTATTGGCTTTTTCTTTGTGTTTTTAAGGCTGCTTTAACACCAGTTATGTTGGAATTAGAGTTCCCTGTCATTTT